TTTCTACAAGTGTGACCGTGACATTGAAGGGCGTCATTCCGCGCAGAGGTACGTTGCAACTTAGTGTCGAGCGAAGACACGGTTGAGCACGATTCCCTAGTAGCTAACCCTCGTCCGAAGCGCTGTCCCAAGCCCTTGCCGCTAGGCTGCACGTATTCGTGCATCATCACCACAACCAACGTTCAATACGTGTCGCTAAAGCTACCTGAATGGTAGCGTCATGCCCAAGTTCATGACGCTTGCTGAGACACGCGTTAATCGACGTATCGGTATGAGGAAAAACGATGGCAGCTGCGCCGTCGATTAGCTTTCTGGGATAGTAAGGCGTGCCGCTTGTACAACGCCAGATCGATGGCTGAGGTTTTCGTGACACAGAGGCTCACCAACAGCATGCATAACGTAACCAGCTACGTCTTCAATACACTGCGAGACCAGTCAAACGACAACCAACACAAACTGCGTATCGTAGGAAGGCACCAATAATCAAGATACGCCGAGGGCTTTTCGGGATCTTTTGTGATCTTTGAATGGCAGATACTGCGAGGACCACGCTGCTGTACACGGGCACAAATGCGCGTTCAGGGTCGCACAACCACCCTGCGGAAACAATCGCGAGGACAACAGGCTAACGTGCACAGCACACAAGGCACAGGAGGACGAGTTCAACAGAAGGAACCGGGAGGTTACGTGGACTGCTGCACAGCGAGCGCGCTTCTTGGACCAGGAGGTGTCGTAGAATCAACGCATGCTACGCCCACCCGCCTTTAGGACGAAACAGCAAATTACGACGAAGCGTTTTTGATGTGGGGTTTCTGCATAAACAACCATCGCGGCGGTGGCATACTCTGTGATTGGTTACCGACATGATATCGTCTTTCCATCACCAGAGGGTTCGGGAGGGCTTCTCAACTACCTCTCAAGTACGTGTTTCGTCGTGAGTCAAAAGAAGAGTCTTTGGACTTCTTCGAAGGTACAGAGCTGCTTGGGGTCCTCCTCCTTCATCTGGCCCGTTTTACAGAACCCCAATAACTGTTACTCCTTTCCCCTCGCGTTCTATATTTTTGGAAGTTTTTTTATAGAAAACCGCTCCGATAGGGGTGCCGTTTTTGCTTCAGCAAAAACAAATGTTAGAGGTACTCCCGTAAGTGATGTGTGCACGTTCCAATCTAAAAACTATCGCACAAGCGCCGTGGCTTTTGCATCGACTGCCCCTCTGCTTCACGGGCGAGAAATACCCACCTCAACGTATTTCCTTCAACAGCGCAAGCTATTTTACCCTGCACTCTACTCCTAACCCCACCACAGCTACAGGACAATAGGCGCGTTCCGGCCGGGATGAACCCTCCGACATGGGTTCTCAGGCGAGGACGGAACGCGCCCGGCAGACGACGCGAACGTTTTTTGTCACACCGCATGGACTTGAGACAGAAGGTCCACACACCAAGATCAGTTGAGGGTGTACATCACCATGTACTCCAAGAATACACTGTAGGAGGGCCTGCGATTGAAGCCCACTGACACCGCAGGCTTCGGGTTTAACCTATTTTGAACGTGGCGGTATCAAGTGTATCATAACGAATCTGGCGCGCATGGGAGCAGCCGGATTTAAGCCACATTGATCGGCACCATCACAAACCCCTACCTCCCTTGTCACTGCGTGCGTGTGTGTGCCGACAACATAGCCTGAGGACATGAGGATGCTCCGTGCAATTCTAGGAAGGAAGAGCAGCTGGGGGAGTCTTTCCGCGAGCTGGTCTTGCGGGATCATCTGCGGGATAGTGCCCCTCTTGGAGGCGGAAGAATGTGCCGATGTGGACGCGGCCCTGAAACATATTTTTCCCGATGAGGATCGACGCCCGCCCATCCTCTTTTACGACAAGGCCTGCGTTCTGGACCGCTACATGAGCGGCCGAGGGGATCTGTCCTGGGTTGGAACGATGCTGATCGTCGACCGGTACGTGACACGTGGGCCTGTGTTTCCAAAGCACCCGGGGCAATTCAACGAGAGACTACGTACACCTCGGCCTAAAGTAGGGCGTGCTCCCTGTAAGTAAGTTGCTCACAGAGCAGGTTGGGCGTTCTAAGTTGTAGTTTGCGTGGCGTTGGGGGTGACGTGTACAGTGTGTCCGAACTCCAACTTGGAATGAAGTACCGTCGTCGAACACATACCCCGGCCGTACCCAATACCCGTGTTGTGCGCATATCGTTACTGTGGACGCCGGCAGGTTCTATTATCGGGGCCATACGGAGCTTGTGTTGTCTATCCTCAACAACCCAAACGACTACAACAACCCTCTTCTGTGGAACTTGCAGCAAGACCCACCCAAAATCTAGTGGAACTCCTCCATCGCCGAGTCCAACAACGGGTGGCTAAGCGGTGCGTCAGATACACCCTGCGTCGAACCAATAGCAGTTTCTGGTTAACACCGTCATTACAGCCCCCCGTTGATGTCTTTTACTCGCTGTCTCACTCGTAATCCGTGTTGTTTCATCCATTAAGGCTAAGTACTTCCAACTACGTTACCTACCCACACTTGTTCTGAAACGCATGCCTCTCTTGCTGACCAGGGTTTCGACATGTACTCATGCGCATACCAAAGGCGCTGAACCGTTTCGTCTTGGACAACAACATCTGCTTCAAGAACGAGCTCCTGCTCACAAAAAAGCTGTTGTCCCAGCACCCGACCTTTGACCGTTAGCGAAGCACGTACAACACATACATCCGGAACGGCAGGTTGTAGACGTCAGGAACCGCACAGCTCCCGCTGCCCTCTTTTTCGTCCTCCTACGGTGTGTCGAGAGTGGGCCAACATTCCTACCGATCCGAGTTCCCTGGTGCTCTCTACCTAGCAGAGAGGAATTCCACCCGCACAGATGTCCTGGGGTGATGGGCTGAAGGATGCACTTGGTTATGGTTACACCATTCGCGCTGCCTAATGGGGCTGCTTTACGTACATTCGAGTCGTTTTGGTTGCTTCCTCTTATCTAGCTGCGTCATGTCACTTTGATCGGCGACGTTTCTTACTACAGTGGGTTTACTAGAATGGGTTGCCGTTGTTGTCGTTTTTTTTTTTGTCCCATTGCGCGGTTGACATTGTAAATTGCTAACGTTTCCCGGTATGGTTTTCCTTCCTGGCGGGGGTGTTGTCTGTTCTCGGGACGATATGTGCCGTGCGTATGTCAACATCGTGGTTCCGACTTCTTGTCAATATCTTGGTTCCGACGAAACCTTTTTTCCTTGTTGCGTCGTACACAGCGTAACGACGATATTTTTCGATGCCCGATACGGAGTTCGTGGTGAAGGTGTCGAGCGTGGATTTTCTATGGTGCTGTGTTTGGCTTCATATATTTTTTCACAACATCGTTTTTTGTGGCGTCAACGTACGTATGTTAGTGTTTCCTTCGTGGTTCTTAAGGACCGAGCCAAATACTTCCGAATATGGGGCATATACAGCAAGGGGTAAGGGATTCAGGTCGTGGCAGAAGCGACCCCGCCCCAAGAAGCGTAAGAGGGTTTCAACCACGTGGACGCGAGATGGTCACGACATACCGGGTTTCAAATCGTCGCCGAAGCGAACCCGCAGGCCAAATGGCGTTCTGTTCCTTACTTTATTTATCTCTCCCCGAGGTAGTACACGCATTCGTGCGTGCCCGTTCAGGTGACAAAAGAGTTTCAAACCATACCCGAAGCTTTCCCGCCCCGCGGCCCTCTTCATTGCGTCGTGGTTTTCCGTTTATTTCTTTGTCTCGGTGCAAATGTTGGATACATTCGCCCATAACCAAGTGAAATTACCCCGTGGGTACCCACGGGCACCATAGGCAATGCCCATGGGTACCCATACATAACCAAGTGAAATTATCCCGTGGGTACCCATGGGTACCCATGGGTACCCATGGGTTCCCACAGGCAATGCCCATGGGTACCCATGGGTTCCCACAGGCAATGCCCATGGGTACCGATGGGTTCCCACGGGCAATGCCTATGGGTGCCCATGGGTACGCATGGGTATTGCCCGTGGGTACCCATGGTGACTCATGGCCACACACATGGTGACCCATGGGCACCCAAACTGATGCCTAACGCTAGCTCATGGTCGTCACCGTGGGTAGCCACAGGCACCCGTGGTGATAACCGTGGGTAGCGATCCATTGGTATCGGTGGTGTAGCACCCTACGGGTGCCGACGGGTATTCATGATGATCACCACGGGACCTATTCGTCCCGACTAAGGAAAGACGACACGTCTTCGAGCTTTGAAAACAACTAAACCCACCGTAGCTTTTAAATCTGCAACAAGTAAGTATGATGCAGAGACCTGCCCAAGGCCTCGGCGTGCGTGTGCACTGTACGAAACACGGGAGATGCGACAACGCCCTCAGCGTCGCGCCGTGGATCTGGGTGAGGCCACACTGACGCGCTTTCCTCCACGCCCACACCAAGCTTTAGATACCTTCCTTTCTTTCTTTACATTCTTGCGCCGAGCTGGAATAATGCTGGACTCACTAACTGCTGCGCTGTGAGCCTCCCACGGAACCTTGGGTGTACCACCTCGCTGCGGCCGCGCCTTCGTCGACCCCGCCTAATCGATGTTATTGAGTACGCTTAATCTTGGTACGCGTTGTGATCCCCGTGGTGGTGAAAGCCATTATGGTCCCCCGTGGGCCGTGGGTGGCCGTGGGTACCCATGGGTACCCATGGGCACGAATAACGAGAGTGTATATGATTGGACTTTTACTACCCTGTCGAGCGTCTCGGTAGGATCTGTACAGGTTCCCATCCCCTACCGAATATCTCGCCACGATCTGTGCAGACCTCCACACCCTACCGAACACACATTGCAAACTGTGCACACGGAGTATTAATTTCCGACGCCGGGAAAGGGTGTAGTCGAGGGGTGGCTGACGCTTCTCTCTTCTCGCGTGAAAAAAGTTGAAGGTGACCACGGCGTGGTGGCATTTATTCCTCCTGTGTAGACCTGGCTGATTCGTTCAATATGCACCGAAAAAATCAAAATTAAAATTATTAGACTGGCTTCGTCAGCACAGCTAGCTGCGGCGAAAACACACACAGAGGCAACAAATCTATCGGGAAGAGGAGTCCCCCAAAGCAGGGAGGAAGTGCTTTTGGCCCTCTTGTCCCAGTTCACAATACAGCACCTATTTTCGCCCTGGTTGAGAACCAAACACAACAGAGCTAGTATTTTTGGGGCTGTGGAATTCGTCTCGTTGTTTGTCAGATCCAGCCCAGTCAGATCAGCTTGACGAACAAGTTAATGCCGACAATACGACGTCAAGAACAAATACATGAATCAGCATCCCCGGGACCACTCCTAGCTGTTCAAGTCTCAGAAGAAGGCAGTGCCAGCGAACTTGACACACAGGCATGCAAGGTTTCGATTGAAGTAACAATCCCGACCACAGATGAGAAGGCAGGGAACGATATGTAGAACGTTGCGCAAGTACTAGCGGACGGGCAGCTCGCGGACCAGGTCATAATTGGCTCCTACAACACCACCGATGCTCGACCTTCATCCCACACGAGGAGGTCAGGCTGAGCCAAATTTTCTAATGTTATGGTTTCTTATGATCGGGCCGATGCTGTCGGCGATACGGGGACGACAGGCGAGTGAAGCGAACAGTGAAAGAAACCGTTTCACTTTCTCGCCGTCCTCCAGGAAACCCCAAACATGTACAGTAAGCACCCTTGGACAAAATACTGAAAAATACTTGGAAAAAAAAATCCAGACAACAAAGACCCCGACCGCACAGAACAACAACACCAACACGACGCCCACAAGAACGGCGAGACGGCGGCAAAAAAGAAAACGAAATATCAGCAAGTAGTCCTGCTGAAGAGGAACCGGCGGCAACATACCCTTGGAAAAGTATCTTTGGAATAGAACTGGCACCCTAAAGTGGTCAGTACGCGAACTTTCGTCCACACAATTGTAACTACGGGGGGATGGCTGCGGTTGCCATTCAAAAAAAGAAAAAAGCTGGTGTCGAGGCAAGATACTTCAGCTTGAAAAGCTGCAGCTCCCCGAACAGCTTTCGGACAAAGTTAAAAAACCTCCAATGCACAAAATATTTTTCATATGCCATCATATACAAGGAATTTCGCTAAAGCATGCTCGGGCTGATTCATTCATGCTAGCATCACTGAACAAAAACGCTCTGCAAGGGAGCGTAAACGAATTAGTTTCTGCGACTGAGAAACTGTTTGGAGGGATCGTCAATGGGGTTGAGACAAAATTTGTCCTGCTATAGTAGATGTCACAACGAACGAGGAGTTTTTGACAAATCCAACTACTTGCTTTCTTACCCTTGACATCAAAAATATAACGACGAAACACCCACCTGAGCCAAATACACAAGAGCAAAAAAAAATCGAACGACACAAGGCCTTCGCCTACATCACGCAGGATACACCTCGAAGTTCCGCCTGCTTCTAAACCACAACCCGACTTGTACGCTTCCGAGGAACAACGACTAAAACAAACTGCACCATCTGGTACTTTTACCACTCCACGGAATAACATCTAGCACCACGTACGTAGGCTTCCGTCGGCACGATTGCGTCCAGCACACCTCTTAGTCGCGGCCTTCCGCCTCATCGGCCATGCGTTTCGCCACGAAGAGGTCCCTTGGAACACGCGAACAGCAACAAACACACACGCACACACAGAGTTAAGGGCATTTAGAAGTGTTTTTTTTTTTTCTTAATATGACACAACGAATCCATCTCCATCATAGAAAAGAGTCAGAGACAGATTAGCAATGAATTCATAGCGTCAGAAAAAGCTACCTGTATGTCTACGATTTCCCAGACAGCATATAGGGACATCTCCCCTGCGGGTAACAGGCTCAACAAAACAGTTTGGTAGCTGTCTTGTGTGTCTCATATATGTTATGTTGGGAAGGTGTACGGTGTAGCAGAAAGGTGTTGGGTACTGTTGGGTAGTCGGGCGGTTTGTGTGTGGCACCCTGTTAGTCGTAGGGCATGCAATCTCCCTCAGTTTTCAAACGTGTTTTCAGTGTGGTACGCATATGTACGTGTTTGTGTTTTCAACCGCACTAAGACTGACGACTTTTCATTGGTCAGCCACTTAGCGCGGTCAATGCAAAAAATAAAAACACACACAAGTGCAAACAAAATTACGGAACGGTGTATCGCGCAAAATGGCGTAGCACTGGTCGCCCGGTGTGTACCCGAGAGTACCTTGGCGCGAAGATTGCAAGTAGTTGGTCAGTTCGGGGAAGGAACAGAGCAAAAGCCCTTGGAAGTGCTATCAAACGCTAGGACGTGAGAGAGATTCAAGAAAAAATAAGAGACGTTCCGCAAAGTTCGGGAAAAGACAACGGATTCACGAACAGGGCGGCAGAAGTGTGTCGTGCCATAGTCAATCACCGACGTGCAGAGAGTTTCGATGGAACACAAATTGCGGAGCAACATGCAATGGCGGAATGAGCGTGTCCGTGTCGAGAGCAGGGAAAGCGCACGACCACGTCACCGCGCCAGCCGCAAGTGCGCCGGGCCAAAACACGAGCGAGATTGAGTGGTCCTCCCGTCGGCAGTTGACATACGGCGTTGTCAAAACTGAAAGAAAAAAAATAAAAATAGCACCCACTAACGAACGAGGTATTGGTCGATGCACCCGTCCGCCTTACGTTCAGAGAAAAATCGCTGTGGAGGGGATGCAACGTTTATGAACTCTATTCTTGTGATAGAGGTACACACCGGTTTTACTCGGGAAAAAACGGGCTTGGACTTTCCACCACATTTACCGCAGCATATGTACGGAAAATTCACATGATTACACATGCTGTTGCTCCAGAAACAACTGCAATAGCATGAGGCTTCAAGACCCGAACGACCTCAAAACGTGGAAGGCGACTATTAATAACACAACAACTGAAAGTCTGTGCGATAAGGGGGAGCACCTGCCAGGAACGAACGCACCTAACGGGCCTTATCTCCGCACCAGCCTTACTTCTCTCACCTCACTAGATTGACGATTTCGTCGACGTTTGGCTCATACCAAGAACTGCAATCGTCGTCCCAGCGGTCGCTCCCGGCGTGCCTGGCGTAGATGTGCTGGAGCTGTCGAACGCAAGCGTGGGCAAACGTTCGGCCGATACGGGAACAAAACCAGTTAGGGTCTAGTGGGCCACACCGGCGAGTTTCTCGAGGTTCGATGCGACGCAAACCCGACGACTCTTGACAAATTCCGAACTAAACCGACAGCAATCTTTGATATAATAGTTGATCTTCCCGCTACCCCTCTCGTTTGTCCAAACAGCAGAGCCCCCGTGGAATCAATCGATCGCTCATGTTCAAGATCGAGACATACACTGCCAAAAGGAACAATGACGTAACGGCGCTGGTGGCGTTCCAGCACACAGCAGTGCACCCGGTCTTCGCATTGCCAACCTACCACCGACACCAGCCTGGTCTAAAAGCTGACTCACGACCTACAAACGCCGACCGCAGCGTCCGGCAGGACGCAAAATACCAACAACCCGAGCGGTGCCCGGGACCGGCGTCACCGAACCGGACCAGCAACCGCATCACCCACCTTGATGGCCATGTTAACGTAGCACGTCGGGCACTCGATGGGACCGATCTCGAGGATCATGGTGTGGAGCGGCGACACCACGATGTTAGCAAGCCCGGCGCCGTGGGGGGCGACTATGACGGAAGCTGTGGCGAAAAGGTCGAGCTGCTCTCGGATTGGGTCAGTGCCGAAGAACTCGACCACGTCGTGGTCTGGGAAGTTCTGGATAAGGGCATCTCGAACCTGTGCGCGCGCGTGTGCGTGTGTGTGTGTGTGTGTATTTATTATTAGCATCGACCGCGCTAACCGGCTGACCAATGAAAAGACGACAGTCTCAGTGCGGTTGAAAACACAAAAAAAAACACTTCTAAACGCCATGAACTGGGCCCCCGTGAGGGGGGGGCATGGGGGAGGCTAAGCTATTTTCCGGATGAAAGACATGTGCGTGTGCTTCTTGTTTGAAGGTACACACATACGGATAACATTGACGAGGACGGTGGGGAAGTCAGCGTGATCCTCGGGCATTTCGGCGATAACATCGAAACAGCAGTGCTACCATCACAATACCGGCGTGACAGACTGCTTGCACGACGAGTACGGTGTGGCACCGGGGAACACTCCAGCCTCTAGAATGAATTCGGCGTTGACAATGGCAAGGTTCGAAAGGATACACACGGGAAAAAATGTTTGTTTCCTCGTCTCGCGACGACAAAGAAATGCAAACCCATTGTAACACCTTTTTTACGCCGCCAAAGCCAAAACGGATAATGTGGTAGGCGGGGCGGGCAACACGTCTGTCCAGCCCAAACCACTTCCGTACCGCACTCACTACTTGCCTTAGACGGCAAGCGCTCGCCGTCACCCATGTCGAATACCACAAGCAGACTTGAAGGCGCACACATACCTCGGTGTTGTTTCCAAGGCCCCGTTTGTTCTTTCGCACAATTAGCACCATGATCGGCTTCGGAGGAGTAGGCGGCACGCCACCTGTGTCCGGGTACATCCCCTGGGGAAACGTTCCGGGTAGAAAGTCAGAAGAACAACCCGATGCAGGAGATCGCGGCGGGTGGAGGTGGTGATCGCATAAATATATGACAACCATCGGGCCCATTGCACGTAACAGAGAAAAAAAAAACTCAAAAAAACTCTGAAGAGAGGCCCCCTAACACGCTCGTCTTTCTTGTGCAGCACATCAAGGAGGTGGGAGGCCTTGCCGCAAGAGAACAAAGAAAAAACATAAGACCTGCCCCTGCATGTGTCCAAAACTGCCGTGAGCCGCCCTTGAAAAGCAAAAGAGCCCTGCTGCCAACTAAATGCTGTGTGCTGCATGTTCCAATACCACTGCTGTGAGCCGGCGTAAACAAGCACAAGCAGCACCGCTGCCAGTGTCTTGCGGTACGTAGACCTGTCAGGATTGGCATTTGATCCGTATCCATCAGGACTCCATCCCCGAAGGAGGGACTCATGGAAGGCCTGAGTTATCACACACAAAAAGTCCTCTTATTATCCTTCGAAACAGACATATGTAGAGGGTGACTCACGAGCGCCCAACAAACAGAATCCCGAATAGCATCGAACCACAGAGATGTGTACCCTAAATATTTATGCCACGGAGCCCTAAGTCTCCGTAGACCTTCTAACACGCAACACCATTGATCACACGCAGAACCCGACAATACACGCCTCTCGGCACCTACCTGCAGAAGGGCGTGTCTCAGCAGAGTCACCAGTACGGCGTTGGGCTTGCCACACACCGTCGCAGGCGGCACGAGCGCTAGGTCCGCATGAATCTAAAACGAAACAATATATAGCCCACGAAACGCAACAAACAGCCCCACGAGACGACAGGCGGTTTCGACAATTATTCAGCCAAAATAAGCGTCCGGATTGCCGCAAAAAATACGGCAGTCATCAGAGTAGAAAAAACACGGGTTTTGCTGTTATCTAACACACTCGAGAGCACATGGCTTTGCCGAGACCCGGAGGACCTTCGGCACGCCGTGTGGAACATATCGACGAGAAAGCAAGCCAAGAAAACGACAGAGTCGCAGTCACGCACACGTGTGCTTCCATTTGATGTTGGGTCGTCAAGCTACCCACCGCAAGATTGCTCCGCCGCTGAAAATGCCTTAAAATGGGCGATCCGCCCGCACAGTACGCACACAAAAAGCATGTTCCCTGGGGTTGCCCAACCCCCCGCTTGATGAGGGTTACAAGTCGCGCGTCCCCCGTAACCAAACGACACATTATCCCTGCTCTCGCCAGAGTGCCAAAATCATATCTCCCCAATACTTTTTCCAATGACAGGCGCGACACGATGAGAGCTTGGCCAAGGGAGTGTCGTTTGTATGGAAGAGCCGTTTTCTTTTTGCTGCGACGTCGAAAAAGTCGACGGGAAAATGTATCGTCCCCGGAGCCGGAGCTGGCGGACAACAGCAATGTGGAGCGAACGCGCAATTCGAAGCAGCGCAATGTACCCCCCCTCCCGCTTTTCGACAACATGTGAACGCGACGAGAAAAAAATGCCACGAAGTCTTTGTTGCCTCTCGAGAAAAACTAGGGCCAGCAAATGAATATACCACACCGCTTACCTTGTGGATAAACAGTACGCGGTCTTGCGAGATACCGAGGAGTTCGAAGAGCCCGTATATGTACTCCCTGTGGCTTTCGGATATCGAATGAACCGCCACCTTCGCACGACGCCGTCGGATAAACGGGGTGCGTTTGGGGTGTGGATGAAATGTGTGAGACAAAGAGACAGAGAGAGAGACACACACACAGAACAGAGACAGAGAGAGGGGTCTCGCCGCTATGGGAGGGGAGTGCCGACAATGGACTGCTGTCATACACATGCGTAAGGCGAGCGCCAACTGAAAATTTCACCTTGGCATGTTTTTCTACGGTCAAGATGAGGGGGCGAGAACAGGAGATCACCAAGCGGCATGTCGACGGCATGGGGTCATCATGAAGCTGGTCGAATGCTTATGCACCCGCCCGGAAAATAGGGAATTAGACTAAGATTTGTGCCACCTTGATATCGGGATTTTCCAGGAGCATGTCCAGAACGATGGTGATTCGCGACAGATTCTCCACCAGGAGATGGTAGTACGCTAGCCCGTACTCCTGTGTCAGCACAACCACCTGGGGGAGGGGCACGGCGCACAGGAAAATCGTTAACCATGCCGACAACAGCGCCGCGAAGGAACCAATGACACAGAATACATGAGGCCGAACCATGCTGCCGTAAACATCATCCAGGATCACAGCTCAGCCGTGAGCCCTATGGTGATTCTTGCCACGAAAGAGCGTATACGCTTTGGCGGAAGCGAAGGCAGCGAAAACCTCGTGCTGCTAACACTACTGCTGCTGTGGTACAAGAATTCTGTTACGAAACTACGCAGGTCTCGCGTGAGCAACGACGCCATGAACAACTTATAACTGCGCATGGGAGACGCACGCGAAAATCCAAAAGGGAGGAATGTGCCGGGCCGTGCGCGCCGTCTGGGGGTAGTTTGAGAGGAACGACAGCGGTAGAGCGGTTGTCACCCACGAAACAACGGCAGCAGAGCGCGTGTCACTCGAAGACATTGATTGCATCACGCCCTCCCAAAACCGGGCCCAAGACTTTGTGCAGTTGGAGCAACCATCTCGAACGTTTCGGAGAAACAATCATAAAAAAACGTTCAGAGAAACCATCTCTCGGAGGTTTCGGAGCAAGGATACATGAAAAAAGTTAGGAGAAACTATCTTGGGGGTCTGCAGAGTAAGGTCGCGGTGTCCCAGGGGAGACAAATAGTGCCACGGTGCAAAGAACAAGAATCCGGTACGATACGATACCTTGCCGTGGCGCGCCTCTCCAGGCCTGAGCCTCGTCTCATGAGTATTGACGTCCCTCGCGTTGACCGACGACCTGCAGGAGTTGGGTGCGACCAAGTCCTGCGAAATGCAAGAAGGGAGGAGGTACGTAGCAGTCGGCAATCGATGTAACAGTAACCCCCCGGACGTGGTGGCGGCGGCAGCACCTCCGACAGAACAAAATGTTTCGCCGCTGATGGCAGGTGGCGCAGATCAAACATAGCGGTGCCTTGTCATGTCCAGAAGAACACGTGCTCTTCGATGACACAAACAAGCCTCAAACACACGACGAAATACGGCACCGATAGAACAGAGCTGTGCCTTTTGTCATTCCACCAGAAGCCATGTCCATCGACGATACAAAAAAAAAGACCACATGCACCAAGGAATACGCTGATAGAGCCTTGCCTGGTCATTCCAGAAGAAGCCGTGTTCTTCGATGTACACGTCAGACATGCTCACGACCGCAGGCACGCTCTCATATCCATCGCTCGCCTCCTTGACCTCCGTGACTTCAGTGGCGTAATTGGTACTCAGGTACCTTATCCGACCAAGACGAGGATGGCGTGGACGATGGCCAACAATATCGGACGATCGCGCAACGCAGCGGGTGAGCGTCAATCTAACAAAGGGAGAAGAATCTATCGATCAGGACAAAAAGGTTGGCGTGGCGTGGCCAACAACGTCAGGCAGCAAGATCAAGCAACGCAGTGAGGGGACCGTCAATCTAGTCCGAGGAATCGAATCTATCGAACAGAGAAAAAGGCTGGCGGGTGGACAATACGGGGTGGCAACAAAGCAAGCAGACGTCCAACACACCGTCCCAACAAATCAAGCATGCCGCTAAGTTTGCGTTCACCACGCACCGGCCGCCAACTCGGAAGCAACAAAGAACAAACTACTGCGTCCCGCCGTTTCGCAACACTTGCCGGTAGGCTTGCCACACCCACCTGTAAGGCACCTGCACTCTACGCGTTCTTCCCAAACGTTTCGTGTTCGCGTCAACCCTTAGACGGGAGGTTGTTCCGCCGTTGGCGGCCGTTTTTTTTTTTTTTTTGTCTTCACTTCAAATCAGCGCTCCAACCCGTGGTCACACCGAAGCGTTTCCCCCTACCCACCCGTCCTGCTGTACGTTGCCTTCGGTTTTTAATGCGAGAGGAGTGCTGCGCTTTCCTCCCTGGCATTTGCTACTAAGTCATCGCCAACCGTCATCGCACGGCTCAAAATGACATCTCACATTGCCGCCATATCGTCACCCTCCTCGACGGCATCGAGAAACTTCTGCGAAATCGGCAGCTCGTACAGGCCTGGGTGCTTCACGAGCATCATCCTGAGGAGGAGGAGGACGTCCACGCATCACACGCGGAGCGAAAACGCCAACGTGTATTGCGACAGAAGTAAGTGCCGAAAGGCGCACGCTTCTCTCGACACCGAGCGCTAGGCGCCCTTCAGCAGTTGAGCGCCATCGACCTAACTTGGCTGTTCTGTCACGAACTGAAAGCTACCAGCTCATGAACGCAACAAGCAATATCGCGCCGCCGGAGACCTCCACACAAAGTATGTGCCGCAGAACAACAACGGCCGTCCACCCCAACACCCGAACGTGCCCACGCCATGACCCAACCTCAAGAACGATCGGGGCGAGTATCCCCGCCCTCGGTCCCACGTCGTGAACGTCCCTCTCTCGTTACCCCACAAGCCTGCCGTTGTCCTTGCCGGGGGGTTTCCCGCGAGATCACGCGAAATAACTTTCCCCGGGAAGTACCCACCAGCCCTATGCTAGTCTCGCGAAAAAATGGTTTTTGTGTGTGCGAACATGTCATGAAAAAATGCTACAGGTACGCACGCGACGATCGAGCGGGCCCTAGTGAGTCAGAGAGGCCCTACCGAAGACTCTACAGTGACCAGCATGGCCGATTTCTAACGGCGAGGAACACACACGGGTGCGCGTTGTTCAGCAGCCGCAAACCTTCTGAGGTCGTGCCTACCCACGACACTAACAATACCAGCCTTGGGCAGGCGTTCATCGCCCCCCACAACAACCAGCTACTGGCAAGCACCACACGACACGTGCGTGTTGTAGCAGCCGCAAAAACTCACCGGGTCGAGCGCACCACCGACACGACTAGCATATAGCAGGCGTTCATCGTCCCAAAAACAATCAGATAGCACGCTGTTTGATCGCGCCTACCTTGAGAATAGAGAGTCCTTGAAGATTGAGAAGTACGACTGAAGCGTCTTGACGTAGTCCAAGCTGTTCGCCGGCGACAGCAGGCGGGTCGGGGAGGATTCCACGTCAATGAGCTCCGGCCGCCGGACGACCACGGCGCCATCAACATGCGACATCTCTTCGGCCAGATCCATCCACTCTTCCAGGATGTGCTCCCCCTGCATGGACGGCAGCAAAAAAAAAAAAAAAAAACACGCGGTGGGATCGTGCAAAAGACACAAATATGCACATTAGAGGTGGGAGATACGTGCACATATAGGACGAGGAAGGGTTGGAGGACAACACCGCAGCACGGCACGCATGGGGTTGCTCCCGCGCGCGGGTGGCCTCGCAGATAAGAAAATGAAGAAGCAAAGACTCAAACTGTCACGAAAACCAAGAAAAACGGGTAAACAAGCATATACATACGCGGTCGGATATGTTCATGCAGGACGAGGACGGGTTAGGACAGTATCGCAGAAGAGCACACACGCCGGGTTGTTTCTTACACGGCTCGCAGTAGAGAAAAACAAGAAACGCAAGGCGCAGATTCTCACGAAAAAAAAAAAATGGGTCAAGAGAAACACGGCTCCGCCCAGACCCTACACAAATATCAATATCACAGCCGGTACTCGACGGTGGCATGCACCCATTTTTTTTTTTCTTTCTTTCTTTTCGGCAGGTGCGCACTGTTCTTCAATTGCCCTCGTCCAGAGCGTCTGCCGAGACTGGGATGTTCGCTTCTCCCCCCCTTCTGCTCATAATTCTCTCTGGAAGTGGAAGCACCAGAACATAAATGAAGTCATGCGCAGCTGTCATCCGTACACAAGGAAGTAGTAAGCGCAAGATGCCGAACACACTTAGCGGGATGCAGCTCACCCTTCATGCGACTCGCCAAATACCTGTCTCTGGAAGTGAAAGCACCAGAAAATAAATTAAGTCATACGTAGCTGTCATCCGTACGCAAGTAAGTAAGCACAAGATGCCGAACACCCTTAGCAGGATGCAGCTCACCCTTCATGCGACTCGCCAAATACCTCACGGCGCTTCGCGCTAGGTGATGTGAGAGCCTGGTCCGGTGAGAACCCGGCGTGCTCCGTCCCGGCTTTGTAGGGATGCGAGGTCAATGGTCAAACGACTACGGCATGCACGACTATGAGTACACCCCCCCCACCCTTCCCCCCCCCTCGGTGTTTGCCATCGGGATTGGGTTTTCGTCGCTTGGCAACGACGTTGTAAAACAAGCCAATTCACTTCGTGAACTCGGCAACCAAGTTACCGTTTTTTTTTTTTACCTCGGTTTTTCTTTTTGGCGGTAACCATAATGGTGGTCGAGTAGATCATGTTGTGCGGGGTCGAGAAACCTCACTCCGCGCAACGGGGGATGATCGCACCACGTTGTGTTAAAATGGTCAAGCTTCCTCGAGGCAGTTACACAGTGCTTACAACTGTCTCTGGAAGTGAAAGCACCAGAAAATAAATTAAGTCATACGTAGCTGTCATCCGTACGCAAGGAAGTAAGCACAAGATGCCGAACACCCTTAGCAGGATGCAGCTCACCCTTCATGCGACTCGCCAAAT